GGCTGAAGTCGGACGCTTAACCGACTGCGCCACCGAGGTGCCCCAGTTTTTGTTTTAATACATCCTTTATCAGACTAAGCAAATCCGTCCTATGCTAGTTTGCTAAGAATTTATATATGGATGGGTATTGAATCGTATGAGATCCCCTTTTCTGCATCTATAGAGATTACATTATTTTCTCCATGAATTACATTGACTAAATGATCTTCATTGGCATAAAGTTTTTTTCATAATTTCCTATTTTTTTTAATGTTTATAAAATCTGTAGTGAAGTCCACTATATCATTCCTAATTTGAAAATTTGTGTTTTCCCATTTTTTTCTTGATCAGTCTAGGGTTTCTCACTTTTATTAATCTTTTCAAAGAATTCCCTTTGATTTTCGCTTATTGCTTGTCCTCTAGAGGACATGAAAACAAGTATGATGGAGGAAACTCCTCAGTGTTAAGCATAGATAGGAAGCTAGAAGCTTGAGATATACCAAAACTCATAAGGTGTGAAGTATAAAGAATGAGTAAGCAAGCTGCTTTTGAAGCACAGGCAGAATTCATAAGATGTGTTAAATACAGTTGGCAAGTAAGTTAGTAGGTGATAGGATACACTAAAGATAAATAGAATGGAATATATGATGGAACAAACAAGTGTTAGATAATAAGGAATGCAAAGACTAGGTCATAAGGTATCCTAACACCTGAGCCAACAGCTAAGTTTTACTTAAATTCACCACTAGTTGGTGACGCTCAGTATTGTTCCATGGATCACAGATAAAACCCGGGGGACTGTGCAGGAAGCTATTGGTGAGTTACAGTGGAGGCAAACAGGGTATGTCAATGCCCCTGAGCATTTTCAGTCTGACCAGGCCCCTTGTTTCAACTTCAAACTCTGGTCCTCATAATCCAGGAGGCTGATGCAAGAGATAGGGAAACACAAAGGGAGAGCAAAGATAAGGTGTATGAACATTACATAACAAAGGATTCAGGAAATGTGGTCCTTCACCCTGTTTGTATCCTATTCTAAACTTACCCATCTCTTCCCCTTTGCTTCTTGGTGGGTTTTTAAATACATATATCTTAGTGTTTTTAAACTGACAATAAGCCACATGCCTTGAGCATTTTATTTTGGTCTGTGAGCCCTTCTATTCTAAGACCCCTGGGATAGCTTGCCTGGTAGTATATATTGGAATCCATCACTGTATCAAGGGAATGTCTCATATTAACAATTCCCAAAGGATGAGGTGAGAAAAGATCATAATTCACAGCTGTGGACAGTTTGTCTTATTTACTAAAGAAATAAGACAATATGAAGTAACTGGTTAAAATATTGGGGGCCCAATACTGATCTGGGTGGTTATAGGGCCAATCAAGGGTCACAGGAGCGATCTTAGGGATTCCAGGGTAGTCTTGAGGGTCCTAGGAAACAAGTTGAAGAAACATCATTATGTATATCATTTTAGAGATTTTAGCTAAAGCAAGAAGACAAATAACTGGCATAAATAATGGGAGACAGGATTCAGGGCTGGCCTATGGGCACAGCAGAGCTGATTTGGGGGTGCTATCGGGGATACATTTGTGATAGGGCCTCTCCCTCTCCCAATGTATACAAATAAGAACAAGAACATAGAACATGGAAGGGACATTTGTTGAGCACTGTGTCCCAAGCATGGGCTGTTCCCATCCTGTATACCTGTAATCACCGTGGGGTCCTCAGGGCAGCACCTCTTTGTGCAGAAACCTGTGACCACCTCCTGCCTCCTCCACTCAGTCCTCACCAAACCCCTATCACCAATACCATCAGATTCCGCATCACTGAGACCCCAAAACCCTACGGCCCAACACAAGTCCCTGTTACGACAGATCCAGTGGTCTGTCCCTCGCTGATACCCATATTCTTCCTCTTCACACTTGCTAATGGTCTGCCATATTTTGCCGCTTGTCTGACTGCTCTTTACTCTGCCCCGTTCACCATCATTCCCACTAGGTTTTCTATCCCAACTTACTCCACTCTATCCACATTTTCAACCCACTTTCTGCCCATTCACTCAAACTACTCACTCCCACTCTTCCCAGCATTACTCATATTGACTTATATTCTACTCTTCTCCAGTAACTCACCCCACTGGCTATTTATACAATTTTCTCCTACTCTTCCCTGTTTGCCCCCACTCTGCCCCCTCATTACTCCATTCCTTCACACCTGGCCCTTCCTTACCTTCTTCTATTTTCCCCTAATTCCAACCCACTTATCCACATCCTGCTGTTCACCCCCACCCTTTCCCCCTAGGTCCATGCCCCATTCACTTCCACTCACACACATGGCCCATTCGTTTGCCATCTGTGCCCCAGGAAGCAGGAGTTCATAATCAACCTGGAATGGTAAGATCTGACCCCTATCCACGCCCCACTTCAGGATGACCTGAAACCCCAGGAATATTCTTTATTTAGCGGGAAGATGAAATGCTTCATTTTTAGTGCCTTTGGGCATCATTCTCTCAGCAGACTGTACCAGAAGCAAGTAAGTCAGTCCCACATTTCTTCCAAGCTCTTTCTCCCTGGAAAGGCACTAAATGTGACATATCTGACTCACATAGCTCATAAAAAGTGAGTCCATGCTTCATTTTCTTGCAGGATAATTTAGGGGAAAAAACAAGGCTTGGAAGGGCACAGGCATGGTCCCAGAGGTCTGATTCATTCACCTGTTTTGTTAAATCCAAACACTGACCATGCCCAGTTTTACATAGCTTGGGTTACCCAGTTCCACCAGAGATAGCCCCAGTGAAAAGCCACAGAATCATGAGGGCCACAAATATGGTCACACAGTTGGACTTCTTCTTCTGGAGCAGACATACTGTTACCTGGTCTTTGGCTGTGTCCATTAAGACCATGGTTCTCAATATGTCACCAGCAGCAGTCTGACCTAGGGGGCAAGCTACCCAATTTCCTTGTGTACTCATGATTTTATCACTTATAATACAAATACGCAAACACAAATGAAATCTACATCATTGTGGTAAGATATGGAAAGACAATGGTGGGCTTTGTTAGAGAATATTTTCAGATGTCTCTGTGCACACTAAATAAGAACGTATTCCAATCTTGGAGTGCCAGAGTGGCTCAGTCAGTTGCATGTCCGACAACTGACTTCGGCTCAGGTCATGATCTCATGGTTTATGAGTTCAAGCCCCACACTGGGCTCTGTGCTGACAGCACAGAGCCTGCTTAGGATTTCAGTCTCAATTATTTCAGGTTTACATGATGTGGTCCCAGCTGACCTAAGAATCACCTTATTTGACCCCCTCAGGAAAGTAATGCCTGTGTACCTTTGAACTGGCTAGATATGTTTTTCTGGCAGATTATTCACTCAAAAAATTTAACTCCACATTGAACATATATGTATTAAATGCTATGAAATTCTGGGGTGCTTGGGTGGCCCAGCTAGTTGAATGTCCAACTTCGGCTCAGGTCATGATCTCATGGTTTGTGAGCTCGAGCCCCGCATAGGGCTTGCTGCTGTCAGCACAGAACCCGCTTCAGATCTTCTGCCCACCCCCGGCCCCTTCCTCGTTGGTTCTCTCTCAAAATAAATAAGCTTCTTTAAAAAATGTTATGAAATCCTATATTTAGAATATAACTTCATTATCACAGCTGTGGAACAAAATATGCATTTTAAAAAGTTTTATTTATTGAAAAGGTAGTACATCCACATAGCACGATTTTCAAAAATTATGAAAGGACATACACAGTTGTCTCCCTCCCAACTCCATTCCCCCAGCCACCCATTTCCCCTTCCCTTTCCCAGAGGTAATAGGGTTCCCAGCTTCTCATGTATCTTCCCAGAGATAGTTTATGCATATATGCTCAATTATGTACTTGCATTTGTTCTTTTTATGTACGAATGGTAGCATATTATATTCACTGTCCTGCACCCTGCTTTTTGCACCTAATGATGTATGTTGGAGATCTTCCACATCACTGCCCAAATGATGCCCAGGTTCTCTTTCTACATTTATTCATTTTGTCTACCTGGGAGTTTGTTATATAAGCATGCTGAGATTCCAGGATCCAGACCCGTCATCTGGACAGCTTCCAACCTCTTGTTTTCACAAACAGTGCACCAGCGAGTATCTGTTGTGTTCATCGTTTTGTACATGCATGAGTATATACATTCCTAGAAGTGGAACTGCTGGCTCAAAGCCATTGCATTTGTGGTTTTCATTACTTTGGAATCATTTTTGTTTGAATAGGAGTTTTTCCTGGACGTGCTGTTTGATAAGAAGCCAGGGCCACGTTGTAGGCAGGTAAGAGTTTTTCTTACAATTGGGATGGTTTTTTTTTTTCTCCATTTGCTATTTCTTTTAGAGTTGATTTCTCCAGTCAGTAAACAGGTGCAGCTGAAGGGTTCTTCACAAGGAACACTCCCTTCTCTTGCCCCAGCCAAGTGCTCCTCTCAGGAGTACAGACTACTTTCTACAAATATGGCTTGTCTGAGCGATTCCTTGTCGAGGCCTCTGTCTCTCCTCAGACCCCAAGTGGGTCTAGGAAACATCCTATCTCCCACCTGCCCATGCCCTCTGCTACTCTTGTGGATGTATGTGGTCTTACACTCAGAGTATATCCTAAACCTCAACTAAGAGTCCTTCCCAGTGCTGTCTCACATCTGCAGCCTTGAGTGTTCTCTCTAAAATCTGCTGCACCACTGCTTGCTTCCCTCTGCCTCTGGCAGCACTCCCATCAAGGTTTTAGCTATCTCCTCATTTTGTTAGATACAGAGATTATACTTCTGCTTTTTATCCTGGTAGTTTCTGGGTGAAGAATGAGATGAAAAAAAGAGAGGCTGGCTTTATTCCCCATATTTAAACCAGAAGTCCGAACATACTTTTAAAATGTTAACTAAATTGACAAAAACTTCCTTCAGTGAACATTAACATTTAACAGGCACCACTGATATACTCTCTAATGTGCAATGAGCTTTGACTTCCGGCCGTGGCCTTTTCCGTGGGCTTTCTTTCCCGTATGTGTTCTCTGATGTACGATGAGGTTTGATTTTTGGGTAAAGGCTTTCCCACATTCTGTACACTTGTAGGGTTTCTCTCCAGTATGAGTTCGCTGGTGTACAGTGAATGTAGATTTTTCTCTGAAGGCTTTGCCACACTCAGAACATGCATAGGGTTTCTCTCCTGTGTGTGTTCGCTGATGTATTATGAGCTGTGACTTTTGACTAAAAGCTTTCCAACATACGGGACATTCGTAAGGTTTCTCTCCTGTATGAATTCTCTGATGTATAATGAGCTTGGACTTTTCTCGGAAGGCTTTGCCACATTCATTACATTTATATGGTTTTTCTTCTGTATGAGTTCTTTGATGTATAATGAGGTATGATTTCTGGGAAAATGCTTTTTCACATTCACTGCATTCATAGGGCTTCTCTCCTGTGTGACCCCTCTGGTGTAGCATAAGATAGGATTTCTGAGAGAATGCTTTCTCACATTCATTACATTCAAAAGGTTTCTCTCCTGAATGGGTTCTCTGATGTACACCAAGGTTTGATTTTTGGGTGAAGGTTTTCCCACACACATCACACTCATAGGGTTTCTCTCCTGTATGAGTTCTCTGATGCACGATGAGGGTTGACTTCTCGTTGAAAGACTTCCCACATTCGGTACATTTATGAGGTTTCTCTCCTGTATGAGTTCTTTGATGTATAATGAGAGTTGACTTATCACTGAAAGTTTTCTTACACTCATTACATTCATGTGGTTTCTTTCCTGTATGAGTACTATGATGTATAATTAGATCAAGCTTCTGTATGAAAGATTCCCCACATTTAGTGCATTCATAAGTTTTCTCTCCTGTATGGGTTTTCTGATGGACAATGAGGTTTGACTTCTGTGTGAAGGCTTTTCCACATTCGTTACATTCATAAGGCTTCTCTCCTGTATGAGTCCTGTAATGTATGATGACAGTTGACTTTTCTCTGAAGGCTTTTCCACATTCTGGACACTCAAAGGGTCGCTCTCCTGTATGACTTCTCAAATGTATAATGAGCTGAGATTTTTGGCTAAAGGCTTTTCCACATTCAGTACATCCAAAGGGTTTCTCTCCTGTGTGAGTTCTCCAATGTACAATGAGGTGTGACTTCTTGCTGAATGTTTTCCTACATGCAGTGCATTCAAAGGGTTTCTCTCCATTTTTAATTCTCTCTTGTAGACTAAGACCTTTCTTTCGCCTCAGGGCCTTCCCACATTCTTTATATCCATGGGGTTTTACTCCAGGAGCTGTTTTCTCATACTCAGTGTGGAAGAATAATTTTGCACATCCATTATCATGTTTCTTTCCTACAGAACTTCTGGTAAATAGGTCTAAATTATCTACCATATTATTTCCAAATGACTCATGTTTATGGGATCTTTGTATTGAAGCCACAAAGTTTGTACTAAGATGAAGTACATTTCCAAATTCATTATAGTCAGGGCCAGTCCTGGTGATAATTGTTGTCTTGTCAGGGAATCCAATTTGCATCAGCAAATACCTATCTTGGTCATCCTGGTGCTGTCTCTCAATCTGTTCATCAACTTGATAGGCTTCTAGAAGGAAGTACAATAAACCATTTTTGTAACTTAACATTATGTAATGGAACTTCTTTAAAAATCCCCTACCATATAACAGCCAATACTATTTTTGTTTGGGTGCAAAAATGTGATTTTATTAAAGCATGGGGAGAGCTGGTATAATTATCTCATTTTATGAGTTCCTAGAGAGAATTTTGATGGTCAAATCCTGTTCTTTTACTAAACTCCCACCTCCTAGTCTTTTTGTTACCAAAAACAATCTTACCTTGATATCTGTCTTTCTTACCTCTACTTTTACATCATCTCTGATTTCCATCAATTCTGGGGACTTTATCACCCTTCATTTATCATATGAACTCTTAACTGTACCAACTTACACTATTTCTAACTAGGTAGAAATACAACAGTGTGATTAGTGGACTCAAATTTTACAATCCTGAATCCACATTCTTAGTGAATAGGATAAAGATCTAGAAAGATTAGCCTTACAAAAACAAAGATCACCTTAAAGATCTCTGCCCAATCTGGAGTCATCCAAGCTTGCAGTTTGTCAACACCACCTTCTGCTCCTATCTACATTATTTTCACTAAAAACCCTTCCTCATGTTCTATCACTCACATAGCCCAGTCTTCCATATTTTGCTATGATCAGAATATCGATAACTTTCAAGGAGCAATTCAGTCTTACAAAAGCTTACTCTGATCTTCCTATATAATTTTTGTTAATTTCTAAAGTAATCATCTGTACCACTCATTTAGACAGTTAACGTTGCAAAGCCTTGCCTTAAATATACCATATTTCACCAATTGCAAGATGCATATTATTTCACATTTTAACATCTCTGAATCCAGATGTACCTTATAATCAATGACATGTCATAAATTAATTGGTGGCAATTTTTCTTAGTGGTATGTATTAAATTTAATTGGATCTTGGGGCACCTGGGTGGCTCAGTCAGTTGAGTGGCTGGCCAACTCTTGATGTGGGCTCAGGTCATGATCCCAGGGTTGTGGGATCAAGCCTCGTGTTGGGCTCTGCACTGAGCATGGAGCCCACTCAAGATTCTCTCCCTCCCTCTGCCCCTCTCCCTCACTCACACACTCTCTAAAATTAAATAAAAAAAAATCAACTGGATCTTGAAGTCAATAAAATATGGTAAATACTTTTTGCATATATACTGAATTTTAATAATTTTTGTAGTTTAATTTTTTCCTACCTTCTCCTAAAATTCTGTATGAAAATTATCAAATGTACAAAAAAGATGAAAGAGTAAAAAAAGACTCATATTACCATTTAGATTTAACAACGATAACACTTACAATAGTAATACTGAAGTTTAAAATGGATCATGTTCCTATGACATCCTTAATTATATTAGCAAAGCACTAGTTCTTAACCAGGCATGAACATCAGAATCACAGGAAAAGCTTTTATAAAATACATCTGATGGGACCCAAGCTCCACCAAGCATCTACTGAATCTGGACCTCATTAGGTGGTAAGAAGCAGCATAGTTAGGGTCATAAGCTCTCTAGCCCAGGATCAAATCCTGGCTCAACCATTCACTTGCTCTGTGACCTGAGCAACTTACCTAATCTATTTGTATTTTATTTCCCATCTGGAAACAGGAGTTGTAATAGTGCTTACTCCAATGTTGATAAAATTAACCTGCTTATAACAGGGCATGCATGGCACATAGGAAGTACTTTCAACTGTTTGCTAGAACAACTGATGCTACTACTACAATAACAACTACTATTATTATTAAGAGCCACTATACTCCTATAAGAAGAAATAAGGAATATGTCAATATATTCAACATGTTCTTGACCATTAAGTGAAAAAAAGGTGAATAAAACTGTACATAATAGGCTACCATTTTTCTAAAGAAAGAAATATATAAATATATATTTATATGGGCTCATCATATAAACAATGGAAGACTATACCTTTAAATTTTAATAAATGATTACTTATAGGAAAAAGGAAGGAAGAGAATGAGATGGAGGGAAAGCAGCTGAACTTCTTTAAATATACCTTGTTTTCTAGATTTGACTTTGGAACCAAGGCAATATTTTATATAATCATAAAGCAAAACTGAATTTAAAAGGCTTCCATAATAATAATTATACCCTCATCTGTATTTCCAAACAACCATGCTGAAAAGTCTTGATTCTTAATGGCACCAACGTGATTACCTCAATTAATTGAAACCACTATAGACAATTTAGCAGTTTCAGAATAATACTAACAATATTACCATCAGATGTTAAGATTAACAAAATAAAAACCTTTAAGCAGAGAATTTGATTTGGAAATACCAATTTGAACAGATGATATACTTTAAAATCTTTTTTTAAAAACATAGTTCCTAGCTTTGTCAATAAAAAGGCCTAGAAACAATTCCATAATGTCTAAATTGTGGTCTGAAAACACTTTTTACCCCTAAAAAACCAGGGATCCTTAGAGAAATAGCTGATTCCAGGCCGGAGATGGAAAATATATAAAATGAGCCTGGAACATCTTGTAACAGAAAGCAAGGAAGCAAAGACTCAGGAGCCAACTTGAAAGGGTTTCCACTGGCCAGAGACAGGGCAGTTTGATTCACAGTAAGAATAAGGCAGTGGATTAAAAAATAAAATATGGATCCTCAAAAAGGACATATTAGTCACCTTTTGAATGATGCTACAAAACCAACTCCTTATTTTTTAAAACTGGTAAATATATGGAAAAACATATGCAACTCATATGGAACTCATGGAACTAACATGTAACCAAATAATAGATGAAGGGCAATACTCTTTATAGAAATATTCCAGCTAATCAACAAAGAAGGAATGATAGAATATCACCACTTTGCAAACATTAATGAATAGATCTGAGCAATAATCACCGATAACTCATCATTACAATAGACAACCATGCCTCCTGATGGAAGGATGTTATACCAGCTAGGAAGTAAACTTGCTAAAAGAAAACATAAAACCCTGAATCTGATCAAATTTCAAAATCTAACCACCAATTTACAAGAAAAACAAGGGACAGAGGAGTATGTTAAATACCACCATAGGGGACTTAGCAAAGTCCAGAATGTGGGAAACTAAAAGACAACCAGTTACTTTATAAAAATAAAAGAGGAGGGGCGCCTGAGGTGGCTCAATTGGTTAAGCATCCAACTCTTGGTTTTGGCTCAAGTCATGATCTCATGGTTCACGGGATCAAGCCTCACATCATGCTGTGCGCTGACAGCACAGAGCCTGCTGGGGATTCATTCATATTCTTTCTTTCTCAGTTCACACTGTACTTTCCCTGTTTCAGACCTAGAATCAGCAGCTTCTCCAAGGATGTTCGATTCCTTTTTAATGGGGAATGGTATTGAGAAATCAGCATCTAGGTGCTGGGTGTGCTTATAGCTACTTGGATTCTTATTTATTAAAACCTACAAATGATTCTTGTCCATCTTTTTTTCCCTTTTATTTCTTTAAAGTTTACTTATTTACTTTTGAGGTATAGAAGAGATAGTGCGCCACATTTTGTATGGTTCCATTTATATGAAATTTCCAGAATAGGAAAAACCATAGAGGCAGAAAGTAGATCACTAAGTGCCAGGGGCTGGGGGAAGGAAGAAATGGACACTGACTGATAAGGGGTAAGGGTTTCTTTTTGGGGTGATGATAATGTTCTAGAATTAGATAGTGGTGATAGTCTCATAACTGGGTGAATATCCTAAAAATCACTGAATCTGCAGACTTCAAAAGAGTGAATTTTATGGTCTGTGCATTATATCTCAATAAAGCTATTTTTTAAAAAAGATAATCAAGATTTTTTAGGAGAGCAAATGTGATAGGAATATCTAAAATGAATGGAATCAGGTAATCCAATATGGAATTAGAGCCTTTGTTCCTAGGCCTGTGACTAATGTGGGTCCGGCTTTAGATAAGGCAGCAAGGGAAATGAGAATGGGAGAAGTGGCAGGGCTTAGGGGCAGGGACATGCAGCTAAGACACTTCCATGCCGGGAAAAGGAGCTGTGCAGAAATTTGTGGGTGAGCACCAACTTAAGGGGAGTGGTCTGATGAGTATGGGACAAGGGCGAGGATGTCAGTCTTATGTCTGAGATATTCATGTCCCTAACTAACAACATCAAATGGTCACAACCTTTCTCGAGACATTCCTGAAAGCCCTTTCAGAGGTCCTTACTCCTAGGTGACAAGGTGGCACTTAGTGTCACCATCGTCTGAGTCAATCCCGCTTACCTGGAAAGTTCCAAATTGAGATTTTTGTCTCTGCCAGGCATTGCTCTTCTACCTCCAATTTGAGGATGAGGTCTGGTTTGGTAACCTGCTGCCCTGCTAATGAGAAATGACAGTGACACCTCCTTGGTCTTCAGAGCCTCTGAGAAAGAAGAAGGTGGAGTGTGGGGCAGCACAAGAGACCTATCAATTGACATAATGGCCAAGTCAAACCACTTCACCTGGGTTTTGAGTTCACAAACACCCTGTCAGGAAAGCAAAGGGGGGAAAAGGAACTTTGATCCCCAGAATTCAATGTCAAACTTTTCAAGCAGTTCAGAGGTCTTACAAGATTTCAAAATTGATAAAGGATACACCCTCTGTCAGAGACAATCACAAACAGCAAAGTTACCTGAGGAAGCCATTCTTACCCACAGAGACCAGGTTGCTATAGGTCTCTAGCATCACTTCTCTGTACAGAGACTTCTGTGAAGGGTTCAGGTACTGCCACTCCTCGTGGGTGAAATCCACAGCCACATCCTCAAATGTCACGAGTCCCTGTAATTGTACATTCCTTTTATTCTAAAATACTGACCACCGGGTGAGGAGGATGAAAGGAACTTCTGATTGGGTTCCCAGTTCATGGTGATGACTTAATACAAGAGGCCTACATTGTTGGAAAATCACAAATCATGGTAGAAAAACTACTCCATCAAATATATGGAATATTCTCTAAGTATATCGAATATACAAAAGAGAATGTGGTATTCGCACAAGGATAGACAAATAGTCCAGCAGAACTAAAATAGAATCCAGGGCACCTTGGTGGCTCAGTCGGTTAAGCGTCCAACTTTGGCTCAGGTCATGATCTCATGGTTCTTGAGTTCGAGCCTGATTCAGGTTCTATGCTGACAGCTCAGAGCCTGGAACCTGCTTCAGGTTCTGTGTCTCCCTCTCTCTCTGTCCCCCCCTCCAAAATAAAGAATTTTTAAAGAATCCAAATGTGTATGGATACCTGAGTTATGAAAAAGTTGGCCCTACAAAGCAGTGGGGAGAGGATGAGCTTTTCAAATAAATGTGGATGGATTACTGGATATCTACATTGGGGGAAAAAAATCACACTTAGCCACTAACTCACTATACACAAAAATCAACTACAGATAAATTGTAAATCTAATGTGAAAGATAATACAATAAGGTGGCTAGAAAACAATAAAGGAAAATGTTTTCATAGTCCTGGGGTAGGGAAAGAATTCTAAAACAAGATGTGAAAAGAGCTACTCATAAAGAAAAGGCTTTAAAATGTTACAAGATTAATAGCACCGCAGTCAGGGAAATACAAATCAAAACCACAATGAGATATCACCTCAGCCTGTCAGAATGGCTAAAATTAACAACACAAGAAACAACAGGTGTTGGCAAGGATATGGGGCAAGGGTGGTAGGAATGTAAACTGGTGCAGCCACTCTGGAAAACAGTAGGGAGGGTCCTCAAAAAGCTAAAAATAGAACTACTCTATGATCCAGCAATTGCACTACTAGCTATTTACCCAAACAATACAAAAATACTAACTTGAAAGGGATACATGCACCTCAATGTTTATACCAGGATTATTTACAATAGCCAAATTACGGAAAGAGCCCAAATGTCCACTGACTCATGAATGGATAAGGAAGAAGTGGTATATGTATGTACATATATATATATGACGGAATATCACTCAGCCATAAAAAAGGATGAAATCTTGCCATTTACAACATGGATGGAACTAGAGTTATGCTAAGTGAAATAAATCAGAGAAAGATAAATACCATATGATTTTACTCATACATGGAATTTAGAAAACAAAATGAATGAGGAAAGGAGAAAACAAAAGAGGGAAAGAGGCAAGCCAAGAAAGACTTTTGACTATAGAGACCAAACTGACGGTTATCAGGGGGGAGGTGGGTGCAGGGATGGATGAAATGGGTGATGGGGATTTAAGGAGTGCACTTGTGATGAGCACTGGATGTTGTATCTAAGTGTTGAATCACTAAATTGTACACCTGAAACTAATATTACACTGTATGTTACCTAACTGGAATTTACATTTTAAAAAGGTACAGGGCACCTGGGTGGCTCAGTTGGTTAAGCATCCGACTTTGATTCAAGTCATGATCTCGTGGTTTGTGGGTTCGAGCCCTGCATCGGGCTCTGTGCTGACATCTCAGAACCTGGAACCTGTTTCAGATTCTGTCTCCCTCTCTCTCTGCCCCTCCCCTGCTTGCACTCTCTCTCTCTCTCTCTCAAAAATAAAGAAACATTAAAAAAAATGTTTTTTAAGTACAAAAGTAAAAAGGCAAGCTTTAAATGGGAAGACTATCTGCTACACTCAAAAGTGATAAAGGGGGTGCCTGGGTGGCTCAGTCGGTTAAGCATCCGACTTCAGCTTAGGTCATGATCTCACGGTTCATGAGTTTGAGCCCCACGTCGGGCTCTGTGCTGACAGCTCAGAGCCTGGAGCCCACTTGGATTCTATGTCTCCCCCCCTCTCTCTGTCCCTCCCACACTCACTCTCTGTCTCTCACTCAAAAATAAATAAACATTAAAAAGTGATAAAGGGATCTTATCTGGAACATAACAAAAGTCCTACAAATCAATAAGAAGCACACAACACAGAAAACCAGAGAAGAGATGTGAATATGTACTTCACTAAAAAGAAAACCTCAATGACCTATGAACATAAGAAAACGTACTCAACCCCATTAGCACTCAGGCAACCACTTAAATGTACTCAATGCAATTAGCACCCACATAAATGAAGTTTTAAGCATGCTGAGACACTACTATGCCCCCACTAGAAAGGTTATAATTAGGGGCGCCTGGGTGGCTCAGTCGGTTAAGCGTCCAACTTCGGCTCAGGTCATGATCTCGCGGTTTGTGAGTTCAAGCCCCGCATCGGGCTCTGTGCGGACAGCTCAGAGCCTGGAGCCTGTTTCAGATTCTGTGTCTCCCTCTCTCTCTCTGACCCTCCCCCGTCCATGCTCTGTCTCTCTCTGTCTCAAAAATAAATAAACGTTAAAAAAAATTTTTTTTTTTTAAAAAGAAAGGTTATAATTAAGCAGACTAAAATATTGTAAGACTGTGTTGAAATGAGAACTCTCACATACTTAGTAGGAATATAAACTGGCAGAGTTGCTTGGGGAAACAGTTTGACACTGTTTACTAAAGTTAACGATTTCCATGTTATGACCCAGCAATAGAATTTACTTCTAGGTACACGGCTTAAAGAAAATCATGCACATATGCTCTAGAAAACAAGTACAGGGATGTTCACACAAGCACTACTTCTAAAACGAAAACTGTGGAAAAAATTCAAATGTCCCTCAATACACAACGGGTAAATTGTGGCACAGTCACTTAATGGGATCCTGGGTGGTAATGAAAATAAATGAACTACAACTACACATCCAACAAAGATGAATCTTGCAGATGTACTGATGAACAAAAGAATCCAGACACAAGAGTACATGCTGCATGATTCTATTTAAAAATAGTAAGAGAACAGGCAGGGCCAATCCATGATGCTAAAAATCAGGAGTGACTGATTATCTTTGTGGGTGGTACTGATTGGGAGAAGGCATGAGTGTGGATTGAGGTCCTTGTTATGTTCTAATCTTGACCTGGAGGGTGACTACACGGTGTGTTCACTTTGTGCTAATGCATCAAGTTGTTCACATATAAACTGCATTTCACATATAATTAAATGTACTTTATCTCTTTATACTTAAACATTATTTTTGACAAAAGTGCAAAGGTAGGGGCGTCTGGGTGGCTCAGTCAGTTGAGTGTCCAACTCTTGATTTCGGCTCAGGTCATGATCGCACAGTTGAGGGTTTGAGCCCTTCCCTGGATTCCATGCCGACAGTGCAGAGCCTATTTAGGATCCTCTCTCTCCCTCTCTCCCTGCCCCTCCCCAGTTCCCGTTCTCTCCCTCTCTCAAAAATAAATAAACTTTAGAAAAAGTGCAATGCCAATTCAATGGAAAACGGGAGTTCCCATTTCAACAAATGGTGCTGGAACAACTGGATATAAATACGCAGAAAAAACCTCCAGTAAATACCTCCAATATATATAAAACTTAGACTCAAAATAGATCACAGACCTAATGCAAAATCTAAACCTATAAAATTTCGAGAAGAAAATATAGGAGAAAACCTTTTTAACATTAGGGTAGCCAAATATTTCTTAGGTGGGACAGTAAAATTCAAAGACACTGTTAAGAGAAGAAAAAGCCACAGAATGAAACAAAATATTTACAAATCACATTCTGGCCAAAAAAAAAAAATTATATTGAGAATACATAAAGAACTCTCAAAACTAAAAAAAAGCAAAAGATATTAAGCCAAAACAGATATACAAATTACAAATAGGTACATATAAAGATACTTAACATCAGGAAACTGCAAAATAAAACCACAATGAGAGAGGAGTTCAAGATGGCCCTGTGGGAAGACCATGAAATCACCTCCTCCCATGGACACAACAAACTTCCAGCTATATGTGGAATAATTTTCCTCTAAAAAGGACCTGAGAACTAGATGAACAGCACATCCATAACAAAAGACAAGGAGACACACTGAGAAGGGCAGGAGAGGCAATGACAGACCAGAGCCTTGCCTGGGAACCCACCCATCCCAGACGTGGTGACCCCACAATCAGAAGGGATCCCAAAAATATGGAACTCTACTCAAAGAGTAAAGGGATTGTGCCCCACTTCAGCAACCCCCAACCCTGGGGGCCAGCATCAGAAAAATAAGACCCCAACATGTCTAGTTTTGAAAACCAATGGGGATTAAGATCAGGAGAATCATAGTACTACAGGGAACATATAGATCCCACTCAAAGCAGCTGTCACAGAGGCAGGAACTTACAAGGACTTTATCTGGGGATGGAAGCACTGGACAATGGCATTTTAGCAATCTCATCCTAATTTGATGGTGATGAAACCAACAGGCACCATTTTTTTGGTGCTTACTAGCACCAGAGGCCATGCTCTGCCCACCCCATGCCATAACTGGGCTGGATTAGCACCCCACACACCCTGCATAGTGCCCAACCCACAACAGGGCTGGGCTAGCATCCCAAGCGCCATGCAACCTTCGCAGAGACCAAGCCACAGGAATGACAGGTGAAGCATCCCAAGCCCCATTCTCCCTGCTCAGTGGCCAAGATGCAAACAGGCCAGGTCAGTGACCCATCCCCACCTTCCCACATAGTGGCTAAGCTGTGAATGGATAGGGTGAGTGCCATGAGCCCTGCCCTCCCCATGCAGAGACCAAGCCACAATGGATGGGCTAACAGCTTGAATCCCACTCTCCCCATGAAGCAGTCCAGTCACAACAAAGTCAGGCAAGTGCTCTGAGTCCTGACCTCCCCACACAGCAGCTATGGCCGGCCCTATCAGAGCCAGCATGCACATGCAGCCCACACAAGAGACACCCACAGAGTGCCAGACTCTGGTGGCCAAGGGAGAATTCTGGGCCACATGGAACATTTCCTACAGAAGACTGCTCCTTCAAGACTGAGGGAGGTAGCTGTTTTACCTAATATATACAGACAAACGCAGAGAGACATGCAAAACGAGGAGACAGAGGAATATGTTCCAAACCAAAGAAGAAGGCAAATCCTCAGAAAAAGACCTTAATGAAATAGAGATTAGCAACCTACCCAATAAAGAATTCTAAGTGATGGTCGTAAAGATACTCACTGATCTCAGGAGAAGAATGGATGAACACAGTAAGAACTTCAACAAAAAGAAAAAAATATATAAGTACCAAACAGAAGTTATAACTAAACTGAAAAATACACTAGGGGGGTTCAAAAGTTGAATGAATGAAATGGAAGCACAAATCAGAGGACCATAAGACAAAGCAATGGAAAACAGTCAGAAAGAGCAGCAAGGTAAAAAAAGAACTAAAAGTAAGGATATCTTAAAGGACCACAGGCACAACATTAAGCAGAATAATATTTGCATTGTAAGAGTTCCAGAAGGAGAAGAGAAAAAGGATCGTAAAATTTCTTGAAGAAATAGTGGCTGAAAACTTCCCTAACCTGGGGAAGGATACAGACATTCAAGTTCAAGAAGCCCAGAGAGTTCAAATTAAGATGAACCCAAAGAAAAACACACCAGGACACATTATAATTATAATGGTAGAAGTTAAGGATAGTGAGAAAATATTTTTTTTAGGTTTATTTATTTATTTAGAGAGAGAGAGAGAGAGAGTGCATGCGTGTGCACGAGCCAGGAAGGGGCAGAGAGAGAAGGAGAAAGAGAGAATCCCAAGCAGGCTCTACACTGTCAGCACAGAGCCCGATGTGGGGATCAAACCCACAAACCATGAGATCATGACCCAAGCCGAAACAAGAGTCAAAGGCTCAACCGACTGAGCCACCCAGGCACCCCAAGGATAACAAGAAAATCTTAAAAGCAGTAAGAGAAAAGCAACAATACTATGTACAAAGGAGACCCCATAAGGTTTTTAGACTTTTCAGCAGAAACTTTGCAAACCAAAAAGGAGTGGGGTGACATATTTAAAGTACTAAAAGGGGAAAAAGTGCCAACCAGGAATTCTCTACCCATCAAGGTTATCATTCAAAATTGAAGGAGAGATTAAGAGTTTTCCAGATAAGCAAAATCTAACAGAGTTCATCACCACTAAACTGGCTTTACAAGAAATGTTAAAGGGACTTCTCTAAGAAGAAAAGGCACTAATTAATTTTAAAATACATACGAAAGTGAAAATAGAAAAGGTAGGTAAAAATTAAAGGTAGTAGATCAACCACTTATAAAGCAAGTATGAAGGGTAAAAGACAGAAGTAGTAAAATTAATTGAAAATAAAAGTTAAGGGATACATAAAATAAAAAGTAAACTGTATCATCAAAAATCTAAAATGTAGAAGGGAGGAGTAAAAATTTAAAGCTTTGGAATGTGTTCAAAATTAATTTACTGTCAATTCAAAAATGAGTTACATACATGTTATATGTGAACCGAACAGTAACCACAAAGAAAAAAATTACAGTAAATACATAGAAAGGAATCTAAACATAACACTATAGAAGACAAACCATAAGGGAAGAAAGAGAAGAAGAAACAGAGGGGAACTACAACAGCCAGAAAACAATTAACAAAATGGCAATAAGTACATATCTATCAATAATTAAACGTAAATGGACTAAATGCTCCAATCAAAAAACAAAGGGTGGGGGCGCCTGGGTGGCGCAGTCGGTTAAGCGTCCGACTTCAGCCAGGTCACGATCTCGCGGTCTGTGAGTTCGAGCCCCGCGTCGGGCTCTGGGCTGATGGCTCAGAGCCTGGAGCCTGTTTCCGATTCTGTGTCTCCCTCTCTCTCTGCCCCTCGCCCGTTCATGCTCTGTCTCTCTCTGTCCCAAAAATAAATAAATGTTGAAAAAAAAAAAAATTAAAAAAAAAAAAACAAAAAAAAAACAAAGGGTGGATGGATGGGAAAAAAGCCCTTTTACAGGCTATGCACAAGAGACTCACTTCAAACCTAAGGACACACACAGACTAAAAGTAGAGGGGCACCTGGGTGGCTCAGTTGGTTAAGCTTCCGACTTCGGCCCAAGTCATGATCTCGCAGTTCATGAGTTCAAGCCCCGTGTGAGGCTCCGTACTGACAACTCAGAGCCTGGAGCCTACTTCAGAGTCTATGTATCCCCCTCTCTCTCTGCCCCTACCCTGTTCGTGCTCGCTTGCTCTCTCTCTCTCTCTCTCTCAAAAATAAACATTAATATTAAAAAAAAAGAAAGTAAAGGGATAGAAAAGGATATATCATGTAAGTGGAAATGAAAAGAGAGCTGGGATAGGAATACTTGTATCAGAAAAACTAGACTTTAAAACAAAAACCGTAACAAAAGACAAAGAAGGGTACTACATAATGATAAAGGGGTTGATCTAACAAGATGATATGACATTTGTAAATATGTATGAACTGAATATAGGAGCACCTAAATATATAAAGCAAATATTAACAGCAATAAAGAGATAAATAGACAGCAATACAATAATAGTAGGGGATTTTAACACCTCACTTAAATCAATGGAGAGATCATCCAGACAAAAAAATCAAAAAGAAAACATTGGCCTTAAACAACACACTAGACCAGAGGGACTTAATAGATATATACAGAACACCCCATCCAAAAACAGGAGATGGGGCGCCTGGGTGGCTCAGTCGGTTATGCATCCTACTTCAGCTCAGGTCATGATCTCACAGTTCGTGGTTTCAAGCCCCACGTCAGGCTCTGTGCTGACAGTTCAGAGACTCAAGCCTGCTTCGGATCCATCCTGTGTTCATTCTCTTTCTCTCTCTCTCTCTTTCTGTCTCTCTCTCAAAAATAAATAAACATTAAAAAAACAGGAGAATACACATTTTTCTTGAGTGCACAGGGAACATTCTCCAGGATGGACTACGTGTTAGATCACAAAACAAGTCAATAAGTTTAACAAGATTGAAATCATATCAAGCATCTTTTCCACAACTGTATGAAACTAAAAATCAATTACAAGAAACAACTGGAAAAACACAAACATGGAGACTAAACAACATGCTATTAACCAATGAATGAATCAAAAAGAAATCAAAAGATAACACGAGACAAATGAAAATGGAAACACAATGTTCCAAAATCTTTGGGACACAGCAAAAGCAGTTCTGAGAGAAGTTCATAGCAATACAGGTCTACCTCAGGAAACAAGAAAAACATCAAATAAACAATCTGTCTTAATGCTTAAGGAAATAAAGAACAAAGCCCAAAGTTAGTATTAGAAAGGAAAGAATAAAGATCAGAATGGAAATAAATGAAACAGACACTAAAAAAAAAAAAAGAATAGAAAGGATGAATGAAAGTAAGAGATGGTTCTTTGAAAAGGTAAACAAAATGAACAAACTTTTAGCCAGACTCAAGAAAAGAGAGCCCAAATAATAAAATCATAAACAAATGAGAAATTAAAACTGATACCACAGAAATACAAAGGAAAAGAGAATACAATAAACAGTTATATACTACCAATTAGACAACCTAGAAAAAATGGACAAATTCCTAGAAACATATAATCTTCTAAGACTAAATCATGAAGAAATAGAAAATCTGAATAGACCAATTATTAACAATGAAATTGAATCAGTAATCAAAAACTCCCAATAAACAAAAGTCCAGGTCAAGTTGGCTTCCTCAAATTATTCCAACTCTTGAAGAGGAAGGAACACTTTCAAACTCACTTTACAAGGCCAGCATTACCCTGATACCAAAACCAAAGACACTACAAAAAAATTACAGGCCAATATCCCTGCTGAACATAGATGCAAAAGTCCTCAACTAAATATTAGCAAACCGAATTCAATGTCAATAATAACATGTAAAGGATCATACCCCATGACCAAGTGGGATTCATTCCAGGCATACAAGAATGGTTCAACATCCAAAAATCAATGAGATACACCAAAAAAAGCATTTGACAAATTTCAACATCCATTTATGATAAAACCCCCCAACAAAGTGGATATGCAGAGAAGGTATCTCAACACAATAAAGGCCATATATGACAAGCCCACACCTAATTTCATACTCAACAGTGAAAAGCTGAAAGCCTTTACTCTAAGATCAGAAACAACCCAAGGATGTCTACTCACCACTTTTATTCAAAAGAATACTGGAAGGCCTAGCCACAGTAATTACACAGAAAAAAAAAGAAATAAAAGGCATCTAAATAGGAAGAAGTAAAACTGTCACTATTTGCAAATGACATGCTATTACATTAAAAACCCTAAAGACACCACCAAATAACTACTCAAATAAATTCAGTAAAGTTGTAGGACACAAAATTAATAATCAGAAATCTGTTGTGTTTCTATACACTAAAAACAAACTATCAGAAAGCCATATTAAGAAAACAACCAGATTTACAAGTGCATCAAAAGGAACAAAATACCTAGGAATAAACAAGGTAAGGCCATGGCCAGAGATTTAAGCAAAACAGATATAAGTAACATGCCTGATGGATAATTTTTTTTTTTAATTTTTTTTTTCAACGTTTATTTATT